AGGTCCTGCTCCAAATGATATAACAGACACTGAAGATCCCCCATGGAAGGCCTCACCCTCTCTAGGTAGCAGAAAGGGGATGAGATGGGGGCCCGTGGGGTCAGGGGAGGAGGGGAGAGAGAGGAAACTGGGATTGACATGTAAAACAAGCTTGTTTCTAATTTAAAATTTTAAAACAAGGAAAAGAAAGTGTGGTCTCCACACAAGAAATGCCTACAAGAATTTAGGAGCTAGTAAGAAAAGCAGAATCTCAGACTCCAAGACATTCTGAATCCAAATCTCCATTTTTACCTACACCACCAGATGGTTCAAATGCCCAACGCTGTTTAAAAGTTTGGTAGTCAAACAATCTCTTCTGCCTAAACATGTCAATCACTTCAGTCGTTTTCAGTTATAGCATCTGGTAGGCATTGTGCATCACCGTCTCTTCAGAACAGTTGGAACACAGCCACCTTACCAATAAAGGACACAAGCTCAGAGTGGATTGGTCACAGGGTCATGTGGCCTTGAAGTTTCCGAGCCAGGATTTCCAGGCAGATCTGAAAGACTCAAGAGGGCTCACATACAGATAATACTGTGCTTTTGAGGGCAATGCAGGCAGCTCTAGAGACTTCTTGACCCTTCGTGCCACCTCTGACCCAGGATTTCTCTCTCTTCTCTCTCTTTTACTACCCATAGAATGAGGCCTCAACACAGACCACTGTCCCCAGGAGACAAGCCTCTGATCCCCAAGTAAGTACTTTATAGGCTTGCTCAATAACTTTTTGATGAGTTCATGAACATACTTCCCTTTAATCATCAAACACTACTGAAGTAAGCTGAATGGCTATCATTAAGGAAAAGAAGGCGAAGACTCTGGATTCCCAGAGAAGTTCAAAGTCTTGCCTGAGATCTCCAGGAAGCCTTGGACAACTAGAAATGAGACCCAAAGCCTCTCCCCAGTTCTCAGGACAGATGTCTTTGTCCTCTTCCTCTACTTTCCTGAATTTCTGACCTACACTACCAGATAGTTCACAGAAATATCCCTTTCAAATTACGCCCCCACAGACACTTTAAAAAGTGCTCTGACAGCTGGGTGTAGTGTCCTATGCCTCTAATCCCCAGCACTCTGGAGGCAGAGAAAGGTGGACCTCTGTGAGTTCAAGGCCAGCCTGGTCTACAAATTGAGTTCTAGGACAACTAAGGCTGCTACACAGAGATAATCTGTCTTGAAAAAAAAACAGGGTGGGGGATGGGGATGTGTGCTCTGCCTCCAGACAGGATGGAATTAAATGTTAACAGGCAGTCACCTGGGAAAATGGGGAAACTTGGGACATGAATACACACAGGAACCTGAACCCCAAAGAAGGAACATTCTCCCTCCGAGGGAAGCAGTCCTCAAAGCCAAGTGACAGAGACCCTGCCCCCAAGGGGCCCCCAAGGAGCTCCAAGAGCAAGCTGGAAGAAGCCAGCCACTCACCCTGTACTCTGTAAGCACAGCTGTGAGACTGAGGTTCACACAGCACTTTCCCTTCCCTTTGTCACATTTAGAAAGACACCGAGGCCTTTAATTGCACAGCTTGTCCAGTGAAAACAAAATATTTGCCTGAAATGTTAAGGGAAACATGAGAGGGAAATTTCTCTTGAGCTAGGAAATGGGAGGATTTCACACACACACACACACACAGAAACATGCAAACATGCACATATACACATACATTCACACCACACACACATACAATCACTAGAGAGAGAGAGAGAGAGAGAGAGAGAGAGAGAGAGAGAGAGAGAGAGAGAGAACAGACACACACACACACAGAGCTTAGGACAGCAGAACAACTCTTGACTTTTTTTTTTTTTTGCTTCTTTGCACCCCAAGGCCAAAGTCTGTGGCACCGGGAACACTAAGCATCGTGTACACTGCCAGAGACACTGATGAGAGCCATGGCACTACGGATTGACAGTCCTGGTCTGAGCACCAAGACTCATGGGCCTAGACAGGATATTTTCTGTGAATTCACCCAAAGGCACCCTAGAGGACTCAGGCTGTCCATTGCTGTTTGAGGGAGACAGGGGACACATTGTCTGAGGAGGCTGTCAGATATGGAGATGGAAGGAAGTACATTGTCTGAGAAGGCTGTCAGATATGGGGACATATATTTGTAAACCCAGCACTCAAGAGATGGAGGCAGAAGGATCATGAGTTCAAGACCAATCTGGAGTACATAGATAGTTCAAGACCAGGCTGGTGTTCATGAGATCCTGCCCCCAAAAGTAAACATAGGAAGAAAGGATTGGAGGGGAGAGTAAAAGAGGGAAGGGAAAGAAACAGAAGCGAAGGGAACAGGAAGGGGTACCGATTAGTTTTTGTTGAGTTGGCACAAGCCATGCCATTTGGGAAGAGGGAACCTCAATTGGAAATGCTTCCATGAGGCCAGCCTATGGCAAGTCTACACATGTTTTCTTGATTAATGATTGATGTGGGAGGGTCCAGCTCACTGTGGGCGGTGCCACCCCTGAGCAAGTCAACCTGGATTGTATAAAAAGGAAGCTGACCAAGCCATGGGCAGCAAACCCACTAAGCAGCATTTCTCCACGGCCTCTGCTTCAGTTCCCGCCTCCAGGTTCCTGCCTGACTTGCCTTCATGGTGGACTGCAACCTGCAAGCTGAAATAAACCCTCTTCTCCCCAAGGTGCTTTTGGTTATGGTGTTCACAAGAGCGACGGAAAGCAAACTAGGACATGAGGAAAATGACTCCATGTTTTCAGATTTGGTTTTTCTCTTTGGTTGGTTGGTTTGTTGTTGGTCCTTGGAGTCAGATACTGAGAAAGAATTCCTAGACAGCAAGTTCATATGTTAGTGTTTTTCATAGGAAAGGATGGTTGGAGAATGATGAACTGAGCTAAGAAAAAACCAAAGCAAGCCAAGCACAGAAGCAAGGCCAGCAAAGACACTCGGGGGTCAACTTGATGGAATGCCACAGGAACTTTCGGTAGACAAAGGACATCACACCTCGCTCAGTGTCCTAGTGAAGAACCTGAGAACTGGCTGATGTTCTCTTGAAGACCGACCAGCTCCTTGTCAGGGGCTGCCCCAGAGAGATGTGCAAATCCACCCAGTCCTTGCTCTGAGCTTGTATGAGCAAATTCGTGCAAAGATCCCTCCAACAAAGGCAGAGGGACTTGCTCCCGGGAGTGAGGTACTCAGGGCACCAACGACAGCAGGCAGGCGTAGCAGAGCTCGCTGTAAAAGGACTGTGGTAGAAGCAGAGGCAAACACCCGCAGCTAAACACTGAACTGAACCCATGGAACCCAGCGACAGAGAGAGAGGAGCGATAAGCAAATGGGCAAAGAATGGGCTGTCGAAACCAGCAGAGACAGCTGATCTGAACCACGGGGAGCTCTTGGACCCCAGACCGACAGCTGGGAGGCCAGCATGGGACTGATCCAGACCCCCTGAGTGTGAGAGTCAGTGAGGAGGCCTGGGCAACCTATGGGGCCCTGGGCAGTAGATCAGTGTTTATCCCTGGCATACAAATGGACTTCGTGTATCCATAGCACAAAGAGGGATGCTCTCTCAGCCTGGACTCTTAGGGGAGTGCCTGGACCCTGCCCTGAGTGACATGACAGACTCTGGATATCCCCTATGTGGAAGGAAGTGAGGATAGGGTGGGAGACTGGTGGGTATAGTGAGGGGGATGCGGGAGGAGAGGAGGGAGATGGAACTGGGATTGACATGTGAAACAAGCTACTTAAAATTAAAGTAATAAAAAAAGGAAAAAAAAAAGGACTGTGGTCAAAGCCTTTAATGGTAAATGGAAAGAGAGTTGAAGCGGAGAACTCAGAAGTCACATCTGCCTCTGTCTGCTCTTTCTCCTGTTAGGCATCCCCCTAACAATGCTATTACATGCTTCACAGAAGTTGGGCTGTAGACAAACCAGACTCCAGCTCTGCTTTCCTCCCAGGGGCTCCGCTTTCTGCTGCCTGCCCCAGGGACAATGTGTGCCTGCCTATAGCTGTGTGTACTTCATTTCCTTGTGATCCTTAGCCCAACAGCAACCCAGCAGATCACCCTTAAGAAGCAGCAGCCCCCACTCCGCAGCCTCCAACACACACATCACAGTGCAGATCTTCCCAGTGCCACCATGTGTTTATAAGAGCTGCTGACAATGGGACCTAGATTCCACTGGACAACTGACATCAAGTAGAGGGAAGGGAATCTGGACTCAGGAGTGAGGTGGAAAAAAACGACTCACCTAATTCCCTCCAAAACGTCTCACTCCCACTGCCATCAGGCACATACTCTGGGAAGGTGTCCCCAGACGCCTCTGCCCAGCCCCGGGTGCAGCTTTATCCTTTTTCCACCACACCTCGCCCCCAGAGTCAGACATGGAAAGGAGTCAAAACGTGGCTCTGTATTTGAAACGAATTGATGGTTCTATTTCTCCCGCTCTGATTTATCGTATTAATTCCCAAATGCTCTGCCTGTAGTGTTTTTTGTTTGTTTGTTTTTCCTAATCCCCCTTTGTTCTTCTATGTCTCTCTAGCTAGAATCAGCGCTCTGGAGAGCAGGGTTCAAGAAACTACTCTACCACTCTTGGGTAATCCTAGGCAAGGCAGTGGCTCTAGAGTCTCAGAACAGATTCTTTCAGGAAAGGATGCAATGAGGGAGATCCCTAGGTGACTAGTGCCTAATGCATGAAGACAATTAATCAATGACAGCCCCCCCGCCCCCCCCCCCCGCGTGTGCCTTCCTCCTGCAGCCTTACTGCACTTGCCCGGAGTGTTTTTCCAGGAATGGCGCTCGCTCTGGCTGCTCAGATTGGGGAGCAGCTCCAGCGGCTGTCACTCCCTAGCAAGAGAGTTTCCAGTGGTGTAGAGGGGTTCCACAAGTGAATACATGCACACAACACACGCATGCATGCGCACACGCATGCACAGTGCAACCCGATGGGGTCTGCCTCTGTTGCCCCATCGCTCCAGAGTAGGGTTCCCACCGACAGTCGCCAGGGGCACTTACCCGGGATGGGAGGCGCAGGGCGGCTGGGTGCCGGAGGGGCTGGGGTCGTGGGCGGTGGCGGCGGGCGCAGGGCGGGCGCAGCTGGCATGGCTGGCGGCCTGGCTGCAGGTGGCAGCTCCGGGACGTGGCCCAACGACGGCTCGGCCGAGCGAGCACGGGAAGGCTCGGGGACTACACTCTGCGCCGAGCTGCTTGTCTCCTTTTCGCTTTGGCTGGCGCAGGCAGCAGCCACTGTGCAAAGACCAGTCTCCCCAGGCGCAAGCTTGACAACCGCGCGCCGCCCCGCCACCCTCCAGCCCCGCCCTGTCCCGCCCCGCCCCGCCCCACCTCGCCCTGGGCCGCCTGGGGGCGGGAGAGTTGGTGGTGAACTTGAGCCAGCAGGACACTCCAGAAGAGCTCTCAGGCAGACAAGACTCCACGAGACCCCTCTCTCCCATCTCCTTGCCTCTTCCTCTCTCCTTCCTCTCCTTCCTTCCTCCCTTTCCCTCCGCAAAGCTGTTCCAGTCAAGGAACTTGGGGACTGATTTTGATCTGTGACTGCACGGTGCTCTCAATGGGTGACTCCCAAGTCCTGGAAGCCTGCAGCCCAAGCAACCCTGCCTCTCCCTGCAGTACAGAGTTCAGACTGTAGGTACTCCACCAAAGTGTCCTTCCTGCACACAGAAGTCAAAGTTAGGCCACAGTGGTTCAAACGCACAAATCCAGAGACACACTGCAGAAGGTCCTCCCATCTTGGGGTTACTGATACCACCCACGGAAGGTCTCTTGTGAAACGGCCCCTTCTCAGAACCATACACATAAGCGTCAGAGTTGCAGTAACAAATACAGTGCTTCAGCATTTTTTTTCTTTAGATGCCTTTACTAGCCACTCTTTCTAGTTCTGTCATTCACATTTGGGGGAAAAGAGAATGAGAGACAAATAACCTGCGCTTGGGCGATCAGATGGTGTGTTTTCTGCCACAGCTGATGGCTGGGTGGAGAGCCATCATTTACACATGGCTTTGATGAATACGCCGAGCAGTAGGGACGAAGCTCTCAGCTCAAGACAGAACACCACAGTGAAGCGCAGTTATTCCACACTTTGCTGCATGATGTGGGGAAAACTGCATACTCACAACCCTGCTTTTCTTTTCTGACCTGTTAACAGAACCCCAATTTTAGCTGAATACATTGCAATTCACAATAAAGAATATATTTCCCAGGTATCCTGGTGCCCAAAATGACCATAAGAAAAGGTTTTGGCCAGTGAAATACATTTGGGAAGCTTTGTGTGGGACTCGCCAAATGTTTCTGAGGCTCATAGACACATTCCATTGTTCCTCCCACCCTTCTGCCTCGTTCCAATATCCAACAGTGATGTCTATGGTACATTAGATTATGAGGGCAATTCTTTGCTCCATTTTCTAATAGAATTAGAAAATCTACCTATACAGACAGTCTTCAATTACTGTGATGAAACACCCAAGCTAACCAATCACCAAATTGTAAAGATCTTTTTTTATTATTTTAAATCATGTGCACAATGTGTGGGTGGGTATGTGCTCATGAGTGTAGGTGTCCACAGTGTCCAGAGAGGGTGTCAGATCCCTTGGAGCTCACACTATAAGCATTTGTGAGACATATCATGTGGTGTTGGGAACCAAATTCAAGTCCCTTACAAGAGAAGCACCCAGCCATCTCTCTAGCTTCCTGAGTTAGCCACTTTAAATGGAGGAGATATTTGGTTTGACTCACAGTCTCAGAGATTTCAATTCATACTTGTTTGGTCCGGGTGGTGGCACAGCTTGTCACAACAAGAACACAAGGAGGAAGAAACCTATGTATATCATAATAGCCAGGAAGCAAAGACAAGAAGGTGTGGGACCCCTGTGTCCTCTAAGGATGTGATGCCCATGACCTAACTCCCTCCTACTAATTACCACACCCAATTGTCACCACCTCCTAATAGCACAACAAACTAAGGAACAAGCAAGCCTTCAACTCCTAGACTTTTGAGGAAGATCCCAGATCCAAATAATAACACCCCTTGTCCCTTCAAGCTACAACATTCCTCTGCATCTTGTCTTTAATTGTGGCCATCCTACTTACATGACCAATAGGATGCTATTGGATGTGTACCCTCCCAGATTAAATCCCTAGCATCTGCTCCTGCCAATCTTTGAGTAGCCACTGCCCAAGGAGAACATACAGAAACAGGAGTCAGACCTCAGTATCAGCTGGCAGCTAACATTCGACCTGATATGAGGCCACCACATAGGACTGTAGACCCAAAAGTGACACAGATAAATAAATGCCTACAGTTATAAACAACTAAGTCCTGAGCTACTTTGTCCCTCAAGACTTTTGCTGCAAAAGCTAGCTAATATGATGACCGGAGCTCCAGCAGCCTTTTTGAATTACATGGTAGCCTTAAAATTTTAAGACAAATCCCAAAAAAGTTACAAGAGCAATAAAATAGAGGCCTGGATCCCTTATGATAGCATGAAACTATGTCACCTTTAAATTTACCCTTTAAGAGAAAAGACACCCTTGTATATTTAAGCCTCTTCGGTCTTATTACCTGAGAAATGGTATTTGTGTCCATCCTTCAACAAAAGAAAACATTTCCTTTCACACAAACAGAAACACTGAATACAGGCATAGGCAGTCATTTAAATGCAAAATAGAGGCCTAGGGAAGGAACACCATGCTCATGGTGAGCCACTGAACTAGAAATTATTTGGTGTAGCTTAAGGGAGTGGAACAGTAGCCATGGAGCCTGGCCAAGGCATAGGACTATTTTGGTCATAGGTGAACAAAATCACTCACAGAGCTCAAATTAAGTGACATTTTGAGGATGTCTGAGGAAACCTCCAAGGGGTGGAGAGATGGATCAGTGGTTACAGCGCTTGCCACACACGGCTGAGGGATAGAGTTGGGATCTCCAGAACCTACGTAAGTGCCAGGCTAGTACTGCAGCTGAACTGTTACTCCAGCTTCAGAGGCAGAGATGGGGCGGGGCGGGTCCTCAGAGGAAGCTAGATAACAAGACCAGCTATATTGTCAAGCTAAGTTCTGGGTTCAAAAGACTCTGCCCCAATCAATAATATGAAAGAGTGATCAACAATGATTTATAAATCAACATCGGGCCTCTACATGCTTTTGAACGCCCCCCAACATACATACACACACCAACACACACATAACTCATGTGCCCCCCCTCACACACACACAAATGAAAAAAGAAAGTAAAAAGAAATGTCCAAGTCATTCTAAAGCAGCATGGCAGGACTCCATGACCTCACTCCGAAAGGCCCTTCACAGTTGCAGCTTCCCGATGCGCCTTCTCCAGAGAAAGAATGCACTCGCCCCAGTTGATTTATTCTAACTAGCCAGACTCTGGCTCACCTCCTTTGGAACAGAGAGGTCCCTCTGTGTCCGAAGCATCCATAGAACAGTGGAAAGAAGAGAGGAATACAGGGCAGCTGTCATACTGAACTGTGTGGTTTATTCTGGGGCCCCGCCCCTTGGGGCTTTGCCACCGTGTTTAAGATGATGAAAAGAATAGGCCATTTCCTGCCATTTGGACACAGAGTTTCAAGACAGAGGGTCAGGTCCGGTAGACTGTTATGTGCTGAAGTTCCCAGAAGAAAGTTGGTTAGGATTTCATGGTAGTGGAGCTCTGGAATGTTGCAGCTCCAGAACCAAATCTTCTTGGGTTCTCTTCAGCCCCCTTTACAGTCATCACTGTCCACCGCTGCGACTGACCGGTAGTGCTTTACATGCATTAACTTAGCAGACCATAACTCCCACCAAGCCCAAAGCTAAGAATGTCGTCAGACAGCACCTGACACCTGCAACAGAGCCCCTGTGCTTTGTGAGGACTGCCTGCCTGATGCTCTTACTAATACGTCTGGGAAACGCCTTGGTTTATGACTTTGGTCCTGTGACTATAAAAATGTCATGAACCTGTTCTCCTGTTGACACACATCATTTGGAACCACCTGAATCTGTGTCCCCAGGTTCTGGCAATTCATATTTGACTCAGAATAAATTACCTTTTATTCCCTTTGACGTGAAAGCAGTAGTTTGAGTTGACATTGCTGACCTAGAGGTTGCCAGATTTTTACAATTTCCCTCGTGAATCTATTGTTTTCCTTAAAAAAACAAACAAATAAATAAATCCAAAGGAAGACAAGAACAAAAACAATAAAAATCACTTAAAGATCCCAGCATCATTCTCTTGTGCACCGTCAGCTCTATTTTGCTACATCTAATTTTCTTCACAGTTTACATGTAGAGCATTTAAATTGCCAGTGTTTATAATCTGTTTTCTTTACATCACATAGCCATAGAGATTCCATGGAGAAATACAGGGGGAAAAATCCTCCCTTAAATAACCAGAGCCGCCCTGGAAAATTCAGAGGCTTTATCAACTTTACAGAGTTAGCGTCTGCATTTTAAACGTTGGCAGGATGCTTTATTTTGAGAGTAGCATCCAATTAGAACCTATTGCTTTAATCCCAGACTGTGTGGGACTGAGGCAGGAGGATGGAGAGATGGAGGATGCCTGGACTATGCAGTGAGTGTTAAAAAAAATGAATTGGACTGGAGTGAAGGCTCAGTGGGTGAAAGTGCTTGCTGCACAAGCTTGACGACCGAGTTTACATCCCCTGAATACACGTGAGAACATGAGTGTCACAGCATACATCTAGAATCCCAACATGCCTTCCATGAGATGGGAGTCAGAGACAGGAGAATCGCCTCGAAGCTCCTGGGTCTACTAACCTGGAAACCACAGAATGGCAGAAACAAGAGGGGAAAAAAATAAAGGCAGATGTCAAGAACTGAATCCTGATGTTATCTCTGTATGTGCACTCTGTGATACAAAGAATCATACATACTTCATACACACACCACAACCATCAAAACAAATAACAAGCCCGCAGTAGGTCAGGCTCCACTTCAAGGTCTAGGCAGTTTTCAGATCCCAAACCTAGCACAGCAAGCCTCTTCAGCTACGTGATGGGCAGGAAAGCCTGTCCTCTCTCTTTATATTTGAGCACAGCACAGGTAGCTGGGGTGATGCAGCTATGCTTCGACATTGAGATGAACATGAATAGTTTATCAAAAGCCAACCGAATTGTGGATAAATGTGTTAATAGAGCTGGGGGACTTCTAGCATTTGCAGATCAGTGGATCTCATTGGTGAGGCGAATTGGATATAAACATCTTCAGCGCGCGTGCATGAACGTCTGGCTTTGCATGCCTTACCGTGGGATATGGGACTGGAAG